GGTTTTGACTATTTACGCAAAACGCTATGAATTTTCTGATGTTGATTTAATAATATTGGACAACAAAATGAAGTTAAAATCTGTGTATCACGTTGGAATGGAATATTTATATTTAAAATCAACTAGATTAACACTTTTGCTTACAATTTAAAAAAATATTATGAAATGTGACCTAACTTCATATTCCGGGATACTAGTATCAGTATTTAATTCTAAGGCAAATCATTATCCGTCTGCTATAAAAACATTTATATTTATAAAAATTACAAATCACGTAATACTTTACTTTATAAAAGTGAAACAATAAATTTGTAGCGCCTAGCTTCATCCTGATAAACGACCGAAACAATAAAATTCAAAGAGTCACCAACAAATCTGGGATTATTGAATAAAAATTGTGTATTTTAGTATTTATGAAAAATTTGGAGATATTTTTAATATTTTGTAACATATAGAGAATATTTTTTATTCATGATTTTTTTCGTTCGTCTTCGCGGACCCCCTAGGATTTTGCTACGGACCACTAGGGGTCCGCGGACCCCCTTTTGGGAACCGTTGTTCTATAGAATAATACGGTTAAATAACACCAACATCTTATTGACGGACTTGGCTGGCTGATCGGTCGCATGTTATTTTATAGTTGTTGTAGTTGTTGTCAAAATTACCTACTTGAAAACAGTAGAAGAAGAAGAGTAAGGTAACAAACCCAACAAACTTTTATCGTTATTGTATACTTTTATTCTAGTTGGTTTTTTATTTATTTTATTTTTTAGTTTTTTTTTTATTTGTTTAACAAGCAAAAATAGCAAAAAAAAATTGAATTGATACTTAAATAAAATAAATCACACACACCCGAAAAATAAATCGCACACATGGCTGGTGAGTGAGTAGTTAGTAGTGTTTTTTTTTTTCGATGATTTTTTTAGGTTTTTGATCGTACGAGTATTTATTTTTATTTATTTTATTGTAATTTTGTTTTATTTTATTTAATTTTAGAAGTATTGTTGTTTATAAGGTTTTATGTCAAGCATATGGCGACCTAACCCATTGTGGGTTCGATTTAGTTCCTTAATAAATTTCTAAAGTATTGTTTTTATGGATGGGAAAATCTAACACAGTGCTGATCAACTATGATCATTTCAATTATAAAATGATCATCTCATTTATAATATTAAATTTACTCTTTTCTTTAACATCGCCCGTCAAGGATTAAAAGTCTAACACTTATCACCCAAAAAAGTTCAACAACGAAGCAAAAAAAATAAATTTTAGTCTGCCGCCTAGACTGATCAGCATGGTCTTTTTAAAACAAAACTCCATAAAAATAACAACAAAAACTAATAAATAAATACAGAAAAAATCCTAACGACAATATTAAAATGTCTAATAACAAGCGACACTGGCGACAAAATCCCCTCTAAAATACCAAAAAAGTCTGCACAGAAAACACAAAATTGATCATAAAACAAAAACTTCGATGATCAGCATAAATGGTTGAATTAAATTTCTGTGCAATGAAGTGTATTTCAAATCCAAAGTAGAAAAAAATTATAAACAAATAATAGGGGTGTTCACAAATAGAAGTAAAATAAAATCTTTGCATAAGTTTTCAGCTAAATTAGAGAACTGAAATTCATTCTGGGATCGCATCTATATATCAGATCATCATCAAGCATCTTCACATATAATGTAGCACACAATGTAAAGGTGCTTGGACGTCTTTTACCAATATATATATTTGTAAAAGATGGTATCCAAAGAACACAAAAGTTGGACGTTTATCGCGACACTGTATTCAAAAAGTGCTAACTCAGCTATCTATTTAGTTAATAATAGTTATGAGTTAGCACTTTTTGAATATAGTGAGCAATATAGTCTCCTTTTTTCTATTGAATACCCTTTATTATGTTTTTCCATAAAACATACAAAGTATTATTAATTGAAGCGAATAGAACTGTAGGAATCTTGTGTATAAAATAACTCAACTGCCAAACTTTTGCAGTGCAATAATGTTGTCTATCTAAACGGAAATCGCCGAAATGTTAGAGATCAACTGTACAATTAAGAGTAGTTTTATATTAATAGAGCTAAAGTCCTATAACTGCCTAAAACTAGATCCTGGGAATCATGGAAGAAAAACTTTTCAACAAAATGGCAGACACGCAGAAAGTATTAACATAAACTCGTAATAGTTTCTGTTAAGGATCGATAAACAAATTCCATCCATCAATGAAAAACCTTCATATGACGGAAATAGGCTAGATTAGAGATTAGAATATAGACTGGACTATAGACTAGACTATAGACTAGACTAGACTAGACTAGACTAGACTAGACTAGACTAGACTAGACTAGACTAGACTAGACTAGACTAGACTAGACTAGACTAGACTAGACTAGACTAGACTATAGACTAGACTATAGACTAGACTACAGACTAGACTATAGACTAGACTGTAGACTAGACTAGACTAGACTAGACTAGACTAGACTGTAGACTAGACTAGACTATAAACTAGACTATAGACTCGACTATAGACTCGACTATAGACTAGACTATAGACTAGACCATAGACTAGACTAGACTATAGACTCGACTATATACTAGACTATAGACTAGACTATAGACTAGACTATAGACTAGACTATAGACTAGACTATAGACTAGACTATAGACTAGACTATAGACTAGACTATAGACTAGACTATAGACTAGACTATAGACTAGACTATAGACTCGACTATAGACTCGACTATAGACTCGACTATAGACTAGAATATAGACTAGACTATAGACTCGACTATAGACTAGACTATAGACTAGACTACACTATAGATCAGACTATAGACTAGACTATAGACTAGACTATAGACTAGACTATAGACTAGACTATAGACTAGACTATAGACTAGACTATAGACTAGACTATAGACTAGACTATAGACTAGACTATAGACTAGACTATAGACTAGACTATAAACTAGACTATAGACTAGACTATGGACTAGACTATAGACTAGACTATGGACTAGACTATAGACTAGACTATGGACTAGACTATAGACTAGACTATAGACTAGACTATAGACTAGACTATAGACTAGACTATAGACTAGACTATAGACTAGACTATAGACTAGACTATAGACTAGACTATAGACTAGACTATAGACTAGACTATAGACTAGACTATAGACTAGACTATAGACTAGACTATAGACTAGACTATAGACTAGACTATAGACTAGACTATAGACTAGACTATAGACTAGACTATAGACTCGACTATAGACTAGACTATAGACTAGACTATAGACTAGACTAGACTAGACTAGACTATAGACTCGACTATAGACTAGAATATAGACTAGACTATAGACTAGACTAGACTATAGACTCGACTATAGACTAGAATATAGACTAGACTATAGACTCGACTATAGACTCGACTATAGACTAGACTATAGACTAGACTATAGATTATACTATAGACTAGACTATAGACTAGACTATAGACTAGACTATAGACTAGACTATAGACTAGACTATAGACTAGACTAGACTAGACTATAGACTAGACTATAGACTAGACGATAGACTAGACTATAGACTAGACTATAGACTAGACTATAGACTAGACTATAGACTAGACTATAGACTAGACTATAGACTAGACTATAGACTAGACTATAGACTAGACTATAGACTATACTATAGACTAGACTATAGACTAGACTATAGACTAGACTATAGACTAGACTATAGACTAGACTATAGACTAGACTATAGACTAGACTATAGACTAGACTATAGACTAGACTATAGACTAGACTATAGACTAGACTATAGACTAGACTATAGACTAGACTATAGACTAGACTATAGACTAGACTATAGACTAGACTATAGACTAGACTATAGACTAGACTATAGACTAGACTATAGACTAGACTATAGACTAGACTATAGACTAGACTATAGACTAGGACTATAGACTAGACTATAGACTAGACTATAGACTAGACTATAGACTAGACTATAGACTAGACTATAGACTAGACTATAGACTAGACTATAGACTAGACTATAGACTAGACTATAGACTAGACTATAGACTAGACTATAGACTAGACTATAGACTAGACTATAGACTAGACTATAGACTAGACTATAGACTAGACTATAGACTAGACTATAGACTAGACTATAGACTAGACTATAGACTAGACTATAGACTAGACTAGACTATAGACTAGACTATAGACTAGACCATAGACTTGACTATAGACTAGACCATAGACTTGACTATAGACTAGACCATAGACTTGACTATAGACTAGACCATAGACTTGACTATAGACTAGACTATAGACTAGACTATAGACTAGACCATAGACTTGACTATAGACTTGACTATAGACTAGACAATAGAGTAGAATATAGACTAGACTATAGACAAGACTATAGACTAGACAATAGAGTAGATTATAGACTAGACTTTAGACTAGACTATAGATTTTAATACTTTAAATCGAAATATTCTTCTGCGAATTTTCAATAAAGATCAAAAACTATTATTGTCCAGAAACAAAACTTTCTGGACTTATTCCATTTTACCATGCACTCACTCAGTCACTCTAAAGTGTTTCCCGATGACTGACTGAGTGAGTGTGTTCATGTGAAATTTAAAACGAAATCGAATACAAATCAAATTATATTTAAAAATCAATAAATTTTCAACTAAACATTTTTTGTTGTTTTTGTGTCTTGTTATAATTTTGTGTCGTATTGTTTGTTTGTTTGTATAACGATTTAAATGAATTGAAAGTAATTTTAAGCCCTTCTTTTTTTTTTGAACCAATGGCTCTTAAAAAAGACGGCGAGACATGAAAAAAAAACTATTCAGGCCGGGTTAATTCAATACTTTAGCTATAAATGTAGGTTTCTGCATTAGACTATGTATTGAACAGGAAGAAACAAGAATTCAAATCAAACTTACCTGTTTCTCAACCAACGGTCGCCTGTAGATAAATTCCTTTTTGGCTGAATACATTTCGGGCGGTATACCTTTGAACGAATAGCGCAATACACTGTCCTCATCTTCCGATATGTACGAGGGAGATGATGTGTAATTGTTGTTGTTGCTGTTGGGTGTAGCGGGTAAAAAGTTTGTGCTGGAATCTGCTTGGCCACACATAAAATCTAAATGATGATCACAGGAGTGGCTACAATTACGCTGGCTGCTGGACGTGTTACAAGAATACGCCGATAATGTAGCCGATGTATTTGAACGTAAAGTGGCGGTGGCACTAGTAGACGGCAGCTGCTGATCCTGACAGTGACACTGACAACAGCAAGAGGGTGACACTTCTATCATATCCGCCGTAGAGGTTGATGAAGATGCCCTTGTATGGGTGCGCCCCAAAGGAGGGGCGGTTAATAAACTTTCGGCCTCGGGCACCATGTTGTATGCTTTACCTTTTTTTGTATTTTGTGTAAAAAAGACACGTGTGTTGGTGGTGTCTGTGTTCGTATTATAAACTTTAACTTTAACGGAAGGGTGAATTTTAAATTATTATTACTTTTTTTTGCGTTTGTTGTTTTTGTTAAAAGTTGTTATTTGTGGTTGTTTTGTTGTTGTATTTTCGAACTTTAATTGTAAAATTATTTATTCTAAACTCGTCGTCGTTTGCCATTTGACGAGGGCATTGATTTGATAATGGATTTTGTGTGTGGTTTTCTTCTTTTTGTTTAATTTTTTTTGTTATTTATTTGTTATTGTTGTAGTTATAATTTCCTTTTTTATTTATTTTTTTTTCTGTTAATGTTGTTAACAAATTATGTTCAAGTACCTTATTTTGTAAACAAAATATTTTGGGATTCTTTTTGTATCTAAAAGATTCATGATGATTAGAAAATTATGCAAATTGGATGGAATTTTTGTTGTTGTTTAAATTTACATGCAAATCTTTGTTTTTCTAAAGTACGTCTATCTGAGATTTTGATGCTGTTGTATAAAAGGTAATAAAATTATTAATAGTTTTTTTGGTGGCTTTTGCATAAAATAAACTCTTTCAAAATCTCATCTACTTAAACGTTATAATTTAGTTGTAAATATTTTTTTAAACCGGTTTACATTACACCAACAATTTTTGGAAATATTTTTGAAGCATATAGAGACACTTTGTCTAAACTAAATAAGAGTTAACGATTTTTATTGATTTTAAAACTTTAACGAGTATAAAAAATAAATAAATTATTTAACGAATTTTTGAATGTGACAGAAGCAAAAAAGTAGATATTTGGGAGTTTTAATGATGTAAACATTTATATCGAAGTTTTGAATATTTTTGAAATAGTTTGATGTATTTGTGTATCGGTTTGTTATGTCTTCAAAACTAAAGTCAAAATTGTGGGACACAAAAATTTTAAGTTGCTCCGAACCCATTTGTGCCGGTTTATTGTGGCTAACTAACTAACTAACTAACTAACTACTACTACTAACTAACTAACCTAACTAACTAACTAACTAACTACTAACTAACTACTAACTGAACTAACTACGAAAACGAACGAAAACGAACGAACGAACGAACGAACGAACGAACGAACGAAAACGAAAACGAAGAACGAAACGAAACGAACGAACGAACGAACGAACGACGAACGAACGAACGAACGAACGAACGAAACGAACGAACGAACGAACAACGAACGAACGAACGAACGAACTAACAAACGAAAACGAACGAACGAACGAACGAAGAACGAACTAACGAACGAAGAACAACGAAACGAAAAACGAACACGAACGAACGAACGAACGAACTAACTAAACGAAAAACGAACGAACGAACGAACGAAACGAACTAAACGAAAACGAACGAACGAACGAAACGAACGAACGAACGAAACGAACGAACGAACGAACGAACGAACGAACGAACGAACGAACGAAACGACGAACGAACGAACGAAAGAACGAACGAACGAACGAACGAACGAAACGAACGAACGAAAAACGAACGAACGAACGAACGAACGAACGAACGAACGAACGAACTAACTAACTAACTAACTAACTAACTAACTAACTAACTAACTAACTAACTAACTAACTAACTAACTAACTAACTAACTAACTAACTAACTAACTAACTAACTAACTAACTACTAACTAACTAACTAACTAACTAACTAACTAACTAACTAACTAACTAACTAACTAACTAACTAACTAACTAACTAACTAACTAACTAACTAACTAACTAACTAACTAACTAACTAACTAACTAACTAACTAACTAACTAACTAACTAACTAACTACTAACTAACTAACTAACTAACTAACTAACTAACTAACTAACTAACTAACTAACTAACTAACTAACTAACTAACTAACTAACTAACTAACTACTAACTAACTAACTAACTAACTAACTAACTAACTAACTACTAACTAACTAACTAACTAACTAACTAACTAACTAACTAACTAACTAACTAACTAACTAACTAACTAACTAACTAACTAACTAACTAACTAACTAACTAACTAACTAACTAACTAACTAACTAACTAACTAACTAACTAACTAACTAACTACTAACTAACTAACTAACTAACTAACTAACTAACTAACTAACTAACTAACTAACTACTAACTAACTAACTAACTAACTAACTACTAACTAAGCTAACTAACTAACTAACTAACTAACTAAGTACTAACTAACTAACTTAAGCTACACTAACTAACTAACTAACTAACTAACCTAACTAACTAAACTAACTAACCTAACTACTAACTAACTACCTAAACTAACTCAACTACCAACTAACTAACTAACTAAACTAACTACCGGAACTAACTAACTAACTAACGAACTAACTAACTAACGAACTAAACTACTAACTAACTAACTAAATAACTAGAACTAACTACTACTAACTAACTAACTAACTACTAAAAACTAACTACTAACTAACTAAACAACTAACTAACTAAGTAGTTAAACAATGAAGTTCTAATTAAAAAACAAATTACTTAATTGTGAACGCAATTCCTTCATTTGTTGAAATTAGATGCCATCAACTAACTGGCATCAAAGCTCTTCATTACCGTGGTTGACATCCAAAAGTAGGTTTAGGGGGTATGATTAAATTTTACAATTACAACATTACATTTGAAGTAAAATTTCAATTGAATTACAATCACTTATAATTAACGGAAACTTCAATTGACAAGTAATTGTAATGGTCTGAACCTCAATTACAATGAATTGTAATTCCTTGTTGATTCAATTACACTTTGTAATTGGCAAACATTCAATTACAAGTAATTGTAATTAACTATGTAATGAATTACTTTATATAATCGTTACACCCCAAGCCTGATCCAGATACACCAAGGTCAAGACAAAAATACTTTTGAAAAGAAACTAAAAATCTGTTGCCGATTATCTCTCAGCAAAACACTAACTCTTTGTGACGGCCACTGCTTTACACCCAAGTAGATAAAAATCATTTCAACTTAAACAAATCCCTTTAAATTATTCTTTCGCGTGCTTTACTCCGAATAGTGTTCATCAGAATTGATCATACTTATTTAATGTTTTATATGATTGAAAAGTTTTTAAAAAAACACAAATGTCATCACTATCAATCAATCTCTTATGCTTGAATAAATCAAATTATTGAAAACTAATTGACATAAACCAAACAAATCGATCATATGCTGATCATGAAGAAGTACTCTAGCATAAACATTAAATAATATTTAAGACAAGGCGGTGGTTATGAATAATTTAAAATAATCTTCAGATAATATTGAAAAATGTTAAAGAAATGTTTAAGTACTTTAAAGTTAAATTCATTTGGAATTATTATACTGTAGCAGTGTTCATATATAGCCCTTGTTTAGCATTTTAGTGTTCTTTATCTAATCTTTAAAATCAGCTGTCTTTATTTTGGGTTTTTTCTTTGTTAAGTTAGGTCCGGCTTTGAAGCATTCTGTTGCTGTTTTTTTAAGAAACAAACATGTTGTGAATTTTTTATTAGAGTAATTTTTAGTGGTATTATTAGAAGGAGGGTCTGTATTAGGCTATAAAACTGTTGGTTTACTTCTAACAGTTTGACAAATTTATGTGAAACTTAAAATCGTACATAAAAAGTTGTTACGTTTAAGAAATTCTAAATAGATCCAATATTATTAAAGAAGACTACTTCCGTTTATATTTAGCTTAACAGTAGAGCAAATCAGAAATTGTTTGAGTTTGAATTTAGATACACCCATATCAAGAAAAAACGTTTGTTTGATCCTAGAGCCAAACGCAATATATTGACAGAAATATACCATCGTTTACCTAATCATAACACAAGCTTCCTGGCAGAAGTCCAAGCAATAACGGAATGTGTAAATTGGATTAGAATAAATATGGCGCCGAGAGCCAGAAGGCAGTTAGGGCGATATCAGGTTATAGAATTAAATCTGAGACCGTATTGTAACCTTTGTAAGAAAGCTTTAACTGAATACTCTCCCAGAGGTAAAGTTTACATCATATAGGTACCAGGGCACTCGGGAGTAGTCGGCAACGAAAGGGCGAAAGTAATAGGTTTAAAGGGAAGGGGGGCTCGAGGTAGTTAACCTTACGAACGCTAAACCATTCGACTCAACAAAAGCTAAATTAAAAATATGGGTGAGAGAATTCCATAAGGTCTCTATGAATAATGAAACGAAGGGTAGAACCACAAAGATCCTATGGGGTGACTGTGATGAGAACAAGACGAGAAATCAACTTAAAATGAGCAAGTCTGAAATTAGTATGATGGTACGTATTCTGAGTGGACCCATAGGATTACCAGCACATCTATATAAAATAGGACGTGCGGATTCAGACGAATGTAGAGCGACGAATGTGGAGAGTTCTTTGCCACTGTCAGTCATTCGTCGAAGTTAGATCCAAGTATCATGGCAGTGATATTATTCCGGAAATAACATTCCTGACTAACACTGATTGGAAAGTTCTTAGGAATTACGTCCAGGAATAAATTTTTTTTTCATGAAAAGGAGCGCACAACAGGCCAGATAGATACATTCTCCTATCAAACTAACCTAACCATATATTTTCTTAAAAATTCTGAATAATTTTATTTATATCAAAACAAATGTTTTTTTCAGATTTTGGTTAAAAAAAATATTCTGAAATTTCAAAAAAAAAATTTAAATTTTAAGAAAATTCTGAAAAATTCTCAAATTTATAAAAAAAAAATCTACAAAAATATTTATCTTAAAATTTTTTAATAATTTTAAAGTATTTTCCATAAAAAACAAAATTTATTGAAAAAAAAATATAAAATTTAAAAAAGTTCTGAAAAATTCCAAAATTTGTTAGAAAAAAATTTAAAAAATTATTTCTTATTTTCTGAATAATTTTAAACTTTTCTATAAAAAAATAGATTTTTAAAAAAATTCTAAAAAATATTTTTAATTCTCCTAAAAATTCCACATAAATTTATTTTAAAAAAATATATATTTTTTCTGAAATTTTTCTGAATTCTGAAAAAAATTTTAATTTTTGGAAAAAGATCCAAAATTTATTAGAAAAAATCTACAAAAATATTTTTTTAAATTTTTATTTTTCAAAAAATATTCGGAAATTCTGAAAAAAGGTATTTTCAAAAAAAATCCTAAATTTATTACAAAAAATCTAAAAAAATATTTCTTAAAAATTCAGAATAATTTTAAAATTTTTTCTGATTCAAAAATAATTGAAAAATTAAAAAAAATATTCTGAAATTCAGAAAAAATTAAAGATTTGCTAAAAAATTCTGGCTCAGATATGATGACTTAAGTATACGTCCGTTATAGACTAAATTCTGATCTACTTCCCTAGATGGGTTTCTAAGCTATCAACTGTCCTTCCTATAACATTTTTCATAATTTATGATATTTTATGGTTACAAACTATTTCCCACTAAACACCAATTTATTTATTTATTTAAAAATCTATATTTTTTTGTATAAAATAAACACAAAAGACAAAAACGGGGAGCTTAGAGTTTTTGTCTGCAAAAGACATTGACATTAACCGCGAATTTATTTTAAAATTCAGCAACAATTTCAACGTTTTTTTCTCATTTTTTGCAACCAAATTGTTATAAGTTTTTGTTTGTTTTAGGTTTTAAAGAAAAAAAAAGCTTTGAAAATTGCTGGTTTCAATGCTTTTGGAGGGTATTTCAAAACTAAATATTAAAGAAAAAATAAACAAATTCAAACAGACGTCACATTTTTCTTTAATTTGTTTAAAAACTATATTGTTTTCTTTGGGTGAAAAAGTAAATAAACTTTAAAATTTTTTAATTGAAATTAAATTTTCTTTTCACTTTTATTTCAAGGTTTTTTTTCGCAGCACTTCTTGTCCACATTGTAAAATTTTTTTACAATTTTTAAATTCTTCATTTAATTTATCATTTTATGTTTTAAAGTTTATTTTGACACGAGCACTATTTGCCAAAAATTAAAAAAAAAGAAAAATAATTAAAAACACCAACAACAACAACAGAAAAAAACTAACCAGTCATTCGATTTTTTTTATCTTCTTCAACATGATTTGATTTTTGCAATAATTTTTTTTTCTACTTTTTGTTTTCTAAACAAATTCTTAAAGTAGTAAAAAATTTTTTATCACTATTTTAGTTAGAATTTTTTTTACCCACATTTTATTTTCAAAAAAAGGTGAATGAATTAAAAACACGATTCTTTGTTATTACTTTTTATTTGCAATATTTTTTTTATTGATTTTAGTATTTTTTACTTTATATTATTTTTTTTCCATTTCCTTAATAATTTTTCGTTAAAATTTTTCTTGAATATTTCTATTTTTCTAAAATATTACACAAAACTTTTTAAACAATTTTCTTTTTATTATTTACTTTTTTAGATTTATTAATTTTTACTACAAATATTTAAATTTCTTTCGTATAAATTTTATTTTGTAACAAAATTTTTTTGTTAGCTTTATTTCATTTTATTCGTTTAAATATTATTTTGTTTTAAATTTTTGTATGAAATTATTTTTTTCTTCTTTTTTTAGTATTTTTAGCGCGCTGTCGTTCGTTGCCTCGTACACACGCGTCCAATACTGCTCTATGGGTCTGGTCTGATGTCTGTCTTTTGGTCTTTATTATTATTTTTTTATTTTATTTTATTTTTTTCTACTTGGCGGCTTTTAAAATTTGGTGTAGTAGTAGAATATATATTTTATTTTTTTTTATTTTACTGCTGCTGCTGCTGTTGTTGCTGTTTTAGTGTATTTTATGGTGCTCAGCAACAAACACTACTCTTAAAAAATATGATACAACAACATTAACAGTCGTGGAGATATATTTAGAGGAGATTGAGCTGTTTTTGAGAAATATGTTTAAGTCTAGTCTAAATCCGGTGTATAGTCTAGTCCCTAGTCTAGTCTATAGTTTAGTCTATAGTCTAGTCTATAGTCTAGTCTATAGTCTAGTCTATAGTCTAGTCTATAGTCTAGTCTATAGTCTAGTCTATAGTCTAGTCTATAGTCTAGTCTATAGTCTAGTCTATAGTCTAGTCTATAGTCTAGTCTATAGTCTAGTCTACAGTCTAGTCTATAGTCTAGTCTATAGTCTAGTCTATAGTCTAGTCTATAGTCTAGTCTATAGTCTAGTCTAGTCTATAGTCTAGTCTAGTCTATAGTCTAGTCTAGTCTAGTCTATAGTCTAGTCTAGTCTATAGTCTAGTCTAGTCTATAGTCTAGTCTATAGTCTAGTCTATAGTCTAGTCTATAGTCTAGTCTATAGTCTAGTCTAAAGTCTAGTCTATAGTCTAGTCTATAGTCTAGTCTTAGTCTAGCTATAGTCTAGTCTATAGTCTAGTCTATAGGCTATAGTCTATCTATAGTCTAGTCTATAGTCTAGTGTATAGTCTATCTATAGTCTAGTCTATAGTCTAGTTATAGTCTAGTCTATAGTCTAGTCTATAGTCTAGTCTATAGTCTGTCTATAGTCTAGTCTATAGTCATCTATAGTCTAGTCTATAGTCTAGTCTATAGTCTAGTCTATAGTCTAGTCTATAGTCTAGTCTATAGCTAGTCCTATAGTCCTAGTATAGTTAGTCTAGTCTAGTCTATAGTCTAGTCTATAGTCTAGTCTATAGTCTAGTCTATAGTCTAGTCTATAGTCTAGTCTATAGTCTAGTCTATAGTCTAGTCTATAGTCTAGTCTATAGTCTAGTCTATAGTCTAGTCTATAGTCTAGTCTATAGTCTAGTCTATAGTCTAGTCTATAGTCTAGTCTATAGTCTAGTCTATAGTCTAGTCTATAGTCTAGTCTATAGTCTAGTCTATAGTCTAGTCTATAGTCTAGTCTATAGTCTAGTCTATAGTCTAGTCTATAGTCTAGTCTATAGTCTAGGTCTATAGTCTAGTCTATAGTCTAGTCTATAGTCTAGTCTATAGTCTAGTCTATAGTCTAGTCTATAGTCTAGTCTATAGTCTAGTCTATAGTCTAGTCTATAGTCTAGTCTATAGTCTAGTCTATAGTCTAGTCTATAGTCTAGTCTATAGTCTAGTCTATAGTCTAGTCTATAGTCTAGTCTATAGTCTAGTCTATAGTCTAGTCTATAGTCTAGTCTATAGTCTAGTCTATAGTCTAGTCTATAGTCTAGTCTATAGTCTAGTCTATAGTCTAGTCTATAGTCTAGTCTAGTCTATAGTCTAGTCTATAGTCTAGTCTATAGTCTAGTCTATAGTCTAGTAGTCTAGTCTATAGTCTAGTCTATAGTCTAGTCTATAGTCTAGTCTATAGTCTACAGTCTAGTCTATAGTCTAGTCTACAGTCTAGTCTATAGTCTAGTCTACAGTCTAGTCTATAGTCTAGTCTATAGTCTAGTCTATAGTCTAGTCTATAGTCTAGTCTATAGTCTAGTCTATAGTCTAGTCTATAGTCTAGTCTATAGTCTAGTCTATAGTCTAGTCTATAGTCTAGTCTATAGTCTAGTCTATAGTCTAGTCTATAGTCTAGTCTATAGTCAGTCTATAGTCTAGTCTATAGTCTAGTCTATAGTCTAGTCTATAGTCTAGTCTATAGTCTAGTCTATAGTCATAGTCTAGTCTATAGTCTAGTCTATAGTCTAGTCTATAGTCTAGTCTATAGTCTAGTCTATAGTCTAGTCTATAGTCTAGTCTATAGTCTAGTCTATAGTCTAGTCTATAGTCTAGTCTATAGTCTAGTCTATAGTCTAGTCTATAGTAGTCTAGTCTAGTCTATAGTCTAGTCTATAGTCTAGTCTATAGTCTAGTCTAGTCTATAGTCTAGTCTATAGTCTAGTCTATAGTCTAGTCTATAGTCTAGTCTATAGTCTAGTCTATAGTCTAGTCTATAGTCTAGTCTATAGTCTAGTCTATAGTCTAGTCTATAGTCTAGTCTATAGTCTAGTCTATAGTCTAGTCTATAGTCTAGTCTATAGTCTAGTCTATAGGCTAGTCTATAGTCTAGTCTATAGTCTAGTCTATAGTCTAGTCTATAGTCTAGTCTATAGTCTAGTCTATAGTCTAGTCTATAGTCTAGTCTATAGTCTAGTCTTCTAGTCTATAGTCTAGTCTAGTCTAGTCTATAGTCTAGTCTATTAGTCTATAGTCTTATCGTCTAGTCTATAGTCTAGTCTATAGTCTAGTCTATAGTCTAGTCCTATTTAGTCTAGTCTATAGTCTAGTCTAGTAGTCTAGTCTATAGTCTAGTCTATAGTCTAGTCTATAGTCTAGTCTATAGTCTAGTCTATAGTCTAGTCTATGCTAGTCTATAGTCTAGTCTATTAGTCGAATCTATAGTCTAGTCTATAGTCTGGTCTATAGTCTAGTCTCTAGTATTGTCTATAGGCTAGTCTATAGTATAGATAACATTTTCCTTTAAAACTGTTTTTCAGCAACACACCCTTAATTTTATAACACCCACTGTAGAAAAAGCACACAAAAAAGTACTAAAAAATAAAAAACACTAAACTAACAACAAAAAATAGCAACAGAAAAAACATTGTATCTCAACCGGCAAAACGCGTAACAACACTACTATACACTCTAAATCAAATGACAGCCAGCTTGTTTTTTATTTTTTTTTTTTTTTTAAATTCATACTACAAAAAAACTAAATACACTCTTTTTTAGACAAAATGCAAAAATATACACACACCATCACAGGCATATCGCTCCCAAACGTTCACTCTCTCTACAAATTTTGTCTAAAAAAGCATAAAACCTGGGGTTGCTCCACTGTTGGGATCAGTCCATATTTGCTTTTGTTTTTCATTTCAAGACTCTCACTCTCAATTTCTAAGCATAACTTCAAAAAATAAAATTTGTTGTTTTATATTAAAGTCTGAATTTGTTCACACTAACTAATACCATTGAAGACGTACTCACACCTACCAACACTTGCAGAAAGAGTCAAGCACTCCGTCAGCTACAAAATTGTGTTTTTTTAGCCAAGATCATGCTTTGCGGGTTTGTAACACGTGAGCTTGTGAAAATATCACGATCGTTGTTTTGACGAAAAAAGCTCTGATTTCAAATGGCAACAATATGAGAGGGAGATAAATTAATAGATGCAGTAAGTGTTATAAATCTGCAGAGTTGGAAATTTTCGAAAATCATAAACTTGGGGTTAATTGTTTTAAGCTGAAACAGGACTTGGTTGTATTAATTTTTGGGAAGTACACGATATCCAAACTTGATAAGTTATCTTGTTCATAGCTTGTGATGGGTAGTAACAACAGCTGCAACATCGAAGACTTTTTTCTCCTACGATTTTATAAACGGGTTTAGAACGTTTTCATTGCTGTTAACCCGAGGTTTCATGAAGCTATATTATTAGTTAGTTAGTTAAGTTAAGTTAGTTAGTTAGTTAGTAGTTAGTTAGTTAGTAGTTAGTAGTTATTAAGTGTTAGTTAGTTATAGTTTAGTTAGTTAGTTAGTTGTTAGTTAGTTAGTTAGTTAGTTAGTTAGTTAGTTAGTTAGTTAGTTAGTTAGAGTTAGTGTTAGTTAGTTAGTAGTCGTAGTTAGTTAGTTAGTAGTTAGTTAGTTAGTTAGTTGTAGTTAGTTAGTTAGTTAGTTAGCTTAGTAGTTAGTTAGTTAGGTTAGTTAGTTAGTTAGTTAGTTAGTGTTAGTTAGTTAGTTAGTAGTTAGTTTAGTTAGTTAGTTAGTTACGTTAGTTAGTTAGTTAGTTAGTTAGTTAGTTAGTTAGTTAGTTAGTTAGTTAGTTAGTTAGTTAGTAGTTAGTTAGTTAGTTAGTAGTTAGTTAGTAGTTAGTTAGTTAGTTAGTTAGTAGTTAGTTAGTAGTTAGTTAGTTAGTTAGTTAGTAGTTAGTTAGTTAGTTAGTTAGTTAGTTAGTTAGTTAGTAGTTAGTTAGTTAGTTAGTTAGTTAGTTAGTTAGTTAGTAGTTAGTTAGTTAGTTAGTTAGTTAGTTAGTTAGTTAGTTAGTTAGTTAGTTAGTTAGTTAGTTAGTTAGTTAGTTAGTTAGTTAGTTAGTTAGTTAGTTAGTAGTTAGTTAGTTAGTTAGTTAGTTAGTAGTAGTTAGTTAGTTAGTAGTTAGTTAGTTAGTTAGTTAGTTAGTTAGTTAGTTAGTTAGTTAGTTAGTTAGTTAGTTAGTTAGTTAGTTAGTTAGTTAGTTAGTTAGTTAGTTAGTTAGTTAGTTAGTTAGTAGTTCGTTAGTTAGTTAGTTAGTTAGTTAGTTAGTAGTTAGTTAGTTAGTTAGTTAGTTAGTTAGTTAGTTAGTTAGTTAGTTAGTTAGTAGTTAGTTAGTTAGTTAGTTAGTTAGTTAGTTAGTTAGTTAGTTAGTTAGTTAGTTAGTTAGTTAGTTAGTTAGTTAGTTAGTTAGTTAGTTAGTTAGTTAGTAGTTAGTTAGTTAGTTAGTTAGTTAGTTAGTTAGTTAGTTAGTTAGTTAGTTAGTAGTTAGTTAGTTAGTTAGTTAGTTAGTTAGTTAGTTAGTTAGTTAGTTAGTTAGTTAGTTAGTTAGTTAGTTAGTTAGTTAGTTAGTTAGTTAGTTAGTTAGTTAGTTAGTTAGTTAGTTAGTTAGTTAGTTAGTTAGTTAGTTAGTTAGTTAGTTAGTTAGTTAGTAGTTAGTTAGTTAGTTAGTTAGTTAGTTAGTTAGTAGTTAGTTAGTTAGTTAGTTAGTTAGTTAGTTAGTTAGTTAGTTAGTTAGTTAGTTAGTAGTTAGTTAGTTAGTTAGTTAGTTAGTTAGTTAGTTAGTTAGTTAGTTAG